CCTTTAAAGGCCTTTCATTTAGGGACAAGGACGTCGGAAAACATTTCACTTTAAACTTGTGCAGCACGATATTTAAAAGACAAAAAAGACTAAAAAGGACTCTCATATTAACGAGTACTTATGCTTTGTTGGACTCAAACCCTCCTTCTTTCTTGCAGTAGAAACAATAATAGCAACAGCAGGAATAATGATGAGCAACAGCAAATAATAGCAATAATGATAACAGTGATAATGATAAGAAGCAGAGGGCTGGCCTCACCTCCAGGCAGCGATCCTGCCACCTCCGCGCCAGCATCTCCAGCAGGGGCGGCCGGAACTTCTCGAGCCCCAGCAGGTCGGGCAGCATCACGCAGTGCATGGCAGCCAGCTGGCTCCAGCCTGGGGAGCACACACATGAAATGAACCCCAAAAATCACCCAGAACGGGCCCTGAGCATCATCCGGCCCGGCCGTGTCCACCTCGGCTCACGCTGCACAAACCCATCCTCGGTTAAACTTGTGCAAGCGGATCCGAGCACACTCATCCTCATCAGCACACTGCTGTCCTGATTTCCCACCTGAATTCTTTATTTCAGCACACTTAATCCAGGTGCGTTCCTGCTACAGATCCGTGCAGGTAAAACCACGAGAGAAATCCAGAGTTCAAACCAAAATGTCCCATATTCTATTCAATATATATCCAATATTCAATTTAAATCTCTATCAGCACCAAAACTCAGATTTAAGGCTTCCCCAACAGGGAAACCTACCCCGGGTACCCTTGGGAGAATTCCCTCAGAAATCAAATAAATGATTTTAGAAATCAAAGAACAATGAGGAGGGGGTTTGGCTGAAGTAAAGGCCGAGGAGAAAAGTGAGGAAGGAAATACCTTCGTTGACTAAGAAACAGGAATGGAAAGCAGAGGTGTCAGAGTGCCCAGATTCCGTGCTGGAAGCAGCAGCAGGAGCAACTTGCAGAGGAAAGAAGAAGAAATAAAAAGAGAGAGAGAGAGAAAAAAAAAAGAGGGAAGTGAGGAGAGCAGCAGCAGAAAAACGGGTTAGTATCACTGCAGAATGGAAAACAAGGGGATGATCTTCAACTCAAATATTCAACTTAAAAATAAAACTCGGCTTCAACATAACATCCAACTCAAAATAATATTGAACTAAATGAGAATTCCAGGTTTTCCAAGAAGGAAGAGGCAGACAAGCAGCTGCAGAGGAACATGGAGACAGTGACAGAAACTGGGATGTTTTGAAAAGACCCAAGTACATCTAAATCAAGTGATTTTAAATATGTTTTTGGGCAGGTGGCTTTGGTTTGGCTTCCTGCTTGACTGTAATTTAGAAACCCAGGAGTTTTGCTGCTTCTTCTTGTGCTTTTCCCACATTTGCCCAGATTTGGAAGCTGTGCACCAAAGGGCAGAAAATAAACCTCAATCAGCCCGAGCTGCCCCATCCGTCACTCCAGGGTGTCCAGGATGAATTCCCGAGGGCTGCCTGGAATTTAACTTCATTCTAAATGGGCCTCTAGGCAAAAATACAACTACAGAAATGCCAAAAAGCCTGAAGGAGAAGGACACAAAACCCTTTTCTCCAGGCCTTCCACCCCAGAGTGGCTGCAGTACATCCCTTCCCAGCCCACTTGCATCAAATGTAGGGAAAGCAGAAATGACAGCTGCACACAGGCAGCCAGGCTGAAACTAAAGAGGTTTCTGCCTGGTTCTGCTCACTCTGCTCCAACGTGAGGAGCTCCAGCCAGCCAAGCACCGAGCTGGGATCACTGCCACAGGAACACTTTGGGATGAGCCTGCAGAGCCTGGAGCTTTAGAGCCTCCTCAGAACGTGTGCGAGCACTTGAAACAGGAATGATGATGTCAAGGAGAATCAGCAGCTTGTACTGGTTCCTAAACCAGTCCTAATCCCCAGTAGTTTCATGGAGGTTAACATTGCATTACTGTGTTCCCCATGCAGTAATTTCTTGGTAACAAGGTGTTAAACTCAGCTGCAATAACAGAATGAAGGGCAGCAAAAGAAGCGGTTTTACCTTGTTTGATTTGCCCCTGCGCCGCATGGCTGGCCACGGGAGGGGGCGGCTTCACCTTGCCCATCTCGGGGGTGCCCGGCCGCGGTGGCCTAGATGGACAGAGACACACACCAATGCAGCCACCCGTGCAGCCAGCACCAACCAAAGCACAGCCAACCCTGCACCCCAGAGGGTCACAGCAGCGCCGCCCCACCTGCTGGGCCCTTTCTTCATGTGCTCGCCGATGAAGGTGGCGTTGGTCATGCTCATGAGCGTGTTGGCCAGCGAGATGACGGAGAGCAGGTGCTGCGTGGTGACGGCCCGCGACACG